GGTGAGAGCCAGTACTGGGACACCAGTTTAACTATGTATGGTGAACAAATTATTCTTTCAACCCTGAGACTGTATAACCTCATTTAGAGATGGCATCAAAAGTCTATATTTCTGGAATCTAAAAAAAAAAAAAAAAAAAAGGTTATGAAGAACCTAGGGGCAGGACGGGAATAAAGAGGCAGACCTACTAGAGAATGGACTTAAGGACATGGGGAGGTGGAAGGGTAAGCTGGGACAAAGTGAGAGAGTGGCATGGACATATATACACTACCAAATGTAAAATAGATAGCTAGTGGGAAGCAGCCACATAGCACAGGGAGATCAGCTCCGTGCTCCGTGAACACCTAGAGTGGTGGGATAGGGAGGGTGGGAGGGAGGGAGACACAAAAGGGAAGAGATATGGGATATATGTGTATGTATAACTGATTCACTTTGTTAAACAGCAGAAACTAACACACCATTGTAAAGCAATTATACTGCAATAAAGATGTTTAAAAAAAAAGTCTGTACTTCAGGCACTTTCTTGAGGCATAACATCCAGCTGACCCCTGTAGGAGGCCCTGCTCACACATTTGTGCCCTATTGTTTTCCACATGTGTGAAATGCTGTTGTGATTAATAAAACACAACTTGGGTAACAGCTCTAAGGAAGTTATATTAGCTGTTTGATTTTTCTTCCCTCTTCAGTTGGTACTGGAAATATAACTAATATCTTGTCGGAGAATCAACAAAATTTTGACATTAAAAAGAAGTCCTTATACTTGAAATCTTTGGTTAGCACTTCTCCGTGTAGACCTTGATGGATTAGGGTGAAGGTTGGCTAATTGTACTAAGTTTGAGGAGTCTGTAACACGAGGGACTGTGTTGTCTTACCCGAGGCTCACTGTTAGTTTCCAGAACCCAAGTTTTTCATGAGAGAAAGCAGTGCCCCATTTATTCATTCGATCACACTCAGTGTGCCAGGTACTGGCTTAGGTAGCAGGATAGGGTGTGAACAATGGCCTCTCCCCTCAGAAACACCAGGAGGAAGTGAGTGGAGGGTTTGGGTTAGTTCAACAGAGTTCCAGCAGTGGGAGGTAGGGGGAAGAGCCAGTGCTCACCCGCAAGCTCCTTCCCTGAAGTGAGATGTGTGAGGCTGGCAGCTGCACTTCTGCACCCTCACATAACATACCTGAACAAACTCTTTCAACTCTTGGTACTGGGCCTGGGTGGCCTTTTGTTTAGTGCAAGAGCTGGGCTTAATGCACAGAAATAATAATGATAGGTACTTACATGACTTAAGAACATTGTCCAGCTCTCCAGGCAGGCGTGGAACAGAGCAGAACGTGAGGCTGTAAACTGGCTTCCTTGGCACGAAGCAGCGACATAGAGCATCTCGAGATGATGAGGTTGGCTGGCAGCCTGCAGATTCAGGGGCAGTTTGTGTTCTCTAGACTGGAAAAACCTTTGGTTTTTCTGAGTTGAGGAATGGACAATTCTCACGGGAAAATGGGCATTTTTCCTAGTGGGCTCTGGAGACAGGTACAATTTTTGCACTTTTCCCATGTTGGGAAAATTCCTCTAGACCAGTGCTTCTCAAACTTGCATGAGCATATGAATAACTGAGGGAAATGCAGGTTAGGTTAGGTTGGCCTGGGACAGTGCCTGAAATTCTGTGTTTCCAACAAGCTCCCTCCCGGGTGATGCTGAATTTGCTACAGTATTGCTGGACTGAGGGTGGTGCTCTGAGGAGCAGAGAGCTGGAACCCACCTGGTGGCCTGGACCCATGGGAACTGGCCTCACCTGCTTTGGCGGAAGGCATTGACCCCTGTTTCAGATGCAGTTGTATTATCCAGTCATTACATTGTCTGCTGTGGTATTTCCTTCTCTCAAGGATCTTAGGTAGTCTGAGATATTGCTGTAGAGTATATATTGGCTGCTGTGTGTAATCATTAAAAAAAATAATCTCTGTTGTGCTTCGGAGTACTATATCTTCTTCAGGGCAAGTAGCTGTCATACACAATCAACGTCCCACGTCATTACAAGGCATTGCCTTAACCCACATGTCTCGTGTGTCTCGCATATGTTGGGGGTAGTCCACCATAGTAAATTCTGCTTTGGAGAGCTTGGCAATCCAATCATAAAATGATGAACTCATGTGTTATGTTCAGTGATTTGAACCTGCAGCAGCCTCTCAGATGGATGGGTTGCAGAATAAATCTATGAAAGGAACTATATCCATTGATTATATTCTGGGCATTGAATTTAGCTGTCATCAGATATAGCTTGTTGTTTGAGCCTTCTGGGTTAAAAACAATTACAGAAATCTAAAAACAAGTTCCATTTTGATGTTTTGTTCCCTGTGAGCTATGTCAAATGGGTTCTTTTATAACGAAAGTAAAGGTTCAAAGCTCATCCAAAATTATACTCAAAAGTGATTTCAGGAAAATGGAGGCTTCATATCACAGTATGTGCTTATAAGCCCCAGTCCTTTGTTCAGTGCGGTGCATCCCAGGCCAGTGAATGACTTTTTCGTCAACTCCCCAAGCTGGTGGTAGTGGTTTCTAAAGATAAGATAATCAGGTAGCATAGACCAAACTGATCTTCCAAAATTATTTTTAGTGGATTGGAAGAGTGGCTTCACTTAATGTCTCTGATTTCTTCATTTATTTTTGTAGGTCACATTCCATCCCTAAAACATTCCATGGGTCTGTCAGCAACTTTGATTGAAGCAGAAAGTTATCAAATGTCCTGATGAGGGCTTGGAAGGGTCTTTGCTCTTAAGGAGTTTTGTTGTAATGGTATTTATCTTAATCAGATTTGGCTAATACTTCTCTTACTCATAGAGTTTTAGAAGGAAAAATAGTCTAGCCAACTTAGAAATCTAGTCCAACCAACTCATTTTACCGATGTGGAAACAGCTGGGGAGTTTGCTCAAGGTCACCCGGACCTGTCTCTGAATCCCAGTCCTGGACTCCCCGCCCCAGTCTACCTCAGTGCCTTTCTATGTTGATTTATGGGTGTGATATGGAGGCTGTGAGGCCTGAGGCAGCAAGTTTTCCACCTTTCCTGGTGGGAGTTGGGGTGTTCTATCTGATACATTCATTGCATTTCCATACCATCTAGACCCTGTGTTCTAGCAGAGTCACAGTACATTAACCAATGTTCCAGAGAGGCAAAGTGGCATGGAGCCTGGATTCTATAGCCTGGTGACCTGGGTCAAATCCATACTTTGCTCCATACATGTTGTGTGACTTTGGGTAAGCCACTGAGCCTCTCTTCAGATATAAAATAGGACCTTCCTTGCAGGATTGTTGTGAGGACTCAATGAGCAGTTAAAGCAAGCAGCCAGGTGCATTGTATTTGGAATTGTGTGTGGTTTTACAAACTGTGGATCTCTACTAGGTATTGAGTTGTGAAATCAGTGTTCTGAATCATAAATAGCATTAGAAAAATTAAATGGCATACACTAGGATAAAGTAGAACATAGTAGAGTGTGTTGCACCTAGGCAGGGTATTGTTTGGTATCCTTTTGGTTCCCCTTTTTGGTGTTCCTTTGGTTTTGTGTGTGTGTGTGTGTGTGTGTGTGTGTGTGTGTGTGTGTGTGTGTGTAATGGCTCACAGTATAAAATGAATTTCTCACTGTGGATTGCAGTTAAGAGTTTGGAAGCTCCTGCTCCAGAGAGCAGGGTGAGTGAATTCATCTGTCTTAGCACAGACGTATTAGAGTGAATGAGGCACATTTTAGACATCAATGTACAAGGCAAACTCTGGCTGAAACATAAATATGCTTCTTTTGCAGAGGGAGACCAAAGGGCAGTTTCTTATTGACCACATCTGCAACTACTACAGCTTGCTGGAGAAGGACTACTTTGGCATTCGTTTTGTGGACCCAGAGAAGCAGCGGGTAAGAGCTCACCACTATCTGGACCCATTTGGGGGGGGTCACTCAGGCTTTGGGGTGCTGAATAGGTTCTTCTCAGAGCAATTGTGGTGTACTTGTTCTCATGGTTATTGACCACATGAAACTTACCAGCCTGGGTATGTGTTTGCGCACGCACGTGTGTGTGTGTGTGTGTGTGTGTGTGTGTGTGTGTAATTGTGTATAAGAATCTGGCACTGTTCTCACTGGACTGAATGAGACAGGGGGAAGGGAAACTTAACATTAGGGCTTTCCAGAAAGCTGCTCCCACCTGGTTGAGGAGAGAATGTTCTTGTGCCCTTTGAACCCAGAGTTTGCCAAAGCTTCTCAAACAGTGGCTACATAAAATCTCATTACAGAGAAAATCCACCCCTCACTATAAAAAGTTATTGGTAGAGAGAGGAACAAGCGGGTGAGGTTTTCTTTTGGGGATGATGAAAATGTTTGAAACGATATAGGTGATAGATATACAACATTGTGAGTGTACTAAATGCCACTGAAGTGTACACTTTAAAATTGTTAATTTTTTTTTATAAATTTATTTATTTATTTAGGCTGTGTTGGGTCTTCATTTCTGTGTGAGGGCTTTCTCTAGTTGCGGCGAGTGGGGACCACTCTTCATCGCGGTGCGCGGGCCTCTCATTGTCGCGGCCTCTGGTGTTGCGGAGCACAAGCTCCAGATTCGCAGGCTCAGTAGCTGTGGCTCACGGGCCCAGTTGCTCCGCGGCATGTAGGATCTTCCCAGACCAGGGCTCAAACGCACGTCCCCTGCATTGGCAGGCAGATTCTCAACCACTGAGCCACCAGGGAAGCCCTAAAATGGTTAATTTTATGTTATGTTAATTTTACGTCATTTTTTTAAAAAGCTTTGGCAGATGATGGGTTAAGATAGTTTGCAAGCTGCTCCTTGGGCACCACTAAATTTGGCAGCCTCCATTGTATTCCTGCTCCTGGCCACACCTATCCTTCCTGGTCTCTGTTGATGCATAAGAGTGAGCAGCGGAGTCTTGGCTTTTGAGCCAGTGTACCAGCCCGAGAGTGTTCGGGTATGGCACGTGCTGAACTCACAGTGGTGTGTGTCCCTCACATCAAAAGACCCCAGGAATCTCCATCCCAGCTCCTACCACCTAGGGTTTCTCATTCATCAACCCTACTGTGGGTCCCAGCTATGGGTTAAAAGGCCCTGTACCTGCTCCAGCCTGTGTTTCTTACCCTGCCCTACTGACAAGCAGGGCAAAGTGTGAAGGGATTACTGGGGATGACTGCCTTCTTTAATTTGCTCTCCCCCTTACCAGTGTCTCTGGTCATTCTTGCTGTCCCCTTTTCCCCTCCTCACAACCCCACTTGGTTCTTGGTTTTGTATTTACTGACTAATACAATGAGGGAGAGACTCGCAGAGTGTATTTTTGTAAAGGAGGAGGATGTTGAAGGAATAGATTAATCTTCTGAAACATGGAGAATCTTATTGACCTCTCAGTAGGACCTAATCCTCTATAAAGGGATATAATGCAATGGCTCAGAAGAAGGAGATTTGGGTTTCCTGTAGCACTTGAGGAAGCCTTGAATGGGCCAAGCATTTATCTGAGTGAGAGGAAGGTAGCAGGACACTGTGAGGATGTAGAGCTGACATGAGATCACGGAGGAATTTGCGTGGTGTTTACTACTGGGTAACAGTGATTCCCAGACCTGGCCCTGCAACTAAGTCAGTTTAGGTATTTGCTAAAAATGCTTAGTGTGGACCTTATTCTAGACCTACTGAATCAGAATTCCTGGGGCTAGGGTCAGGAAGATGTATTTTAAGACATCTTGATTCTAATTTTGATGCATTCATTCCAGCTTTGTCTCCTGACCGGTTTGAGGGACCATGGCATAAAGATGTTTATAGACATAATTTCTTATGGCCTATGAATATATTACCCTTGTATGGAGGGAGAAACAGGCTCAAAAACATTGTTACTTTCCCAAGGTCCCACAGGTAGTAAGTGATGCAGTGAGTATTTGAATTTAGAATTATGGTTCAGAGTCCCCATGGCCAAACACTCTGTGAGCTATATTAGTCATCTAAGCGTGACTGAAAATAGATTATTTTTGTGCAAAATTCTAAAAAGCCACCTGCAGAAGTAACTCTGGCTACCATTAGTTGAGCATTTATTATATGCCAGGAATTTTATCATATGATCTTTAGTGTTCCCCAAAACACTTCAAGGAAGGGGAAACTGAGGCACAGAGAGGGTCAGTGGCTTGCCTGTGGCTAGTAATTATAAGAGGAAGGATGGAATCTGAACCCATACTCTTTCCGTTTCATCTGTCAGATGAAAATTTGAAACATAGCCTAGACTAGGGATCTGTAAACCCTTTCCGTAAAGGGCTAGATAGAAAATATTTGCAGCTTTGTAACTCAAAAAACTTCTGTTGTAATTACTCAATTATTAATTTCTAGTGGAAAGTGGCCATAGACAATACCTAAATTAACGGATGTGTCTGTGTTCCAATAAAACTTTTTTCAGGGCTTCCCTGGTGGCGCAGTGGTTGAGAGTCCGCCTGCCAATGCAGGGGACACGGGTTCATGCCCCGGTCCGGGAAGATCCCACATGCCGCGGGATGGCTAGGCCCGTGAGCCATGGCTGCTGAGCCTGCGCGTCCAGAGCCTGTGCTCCGCAATGGGAGAGGCCACGACAGTGAGAGGCCCG